TGGGAATAATCCCATGAAGTGAGAGGTGTTGGAGAAGTGTCCAGATATGTTCTTATAGCTTGATACACACTGAGTATCTTCCACAACCTCCTGGAGGATGGTGTTAATTCTGTCTGTCCAGCTGCATTAACATGGCTGGATGTTTCTCTCTGCCACCCCATTATTTACTGGACTGTAAACAGACATTTTGCGAGTGAGGTGGGCTCCATCAGGTAAATGATTTTGGAGTTCTGTTGTTGCATAAGGTTGGTAAAGGTTGGTAATTCTGAATTCTGTAATTACTAAAGAATGACTTACACAGAAGTAAGTCAGATTTACACCTGCATAAGTTACTCACAGGAGACCAACTCAACATGGAGGTTTCCTCAGGCACCAAAACATCATGTTGTTGTTGTTGTTGCTATTATTATTATTATTATTATTATTATTATTATTATTATTATTATACTCTCTGTGAAAAATTCTACTCCACCACAGACTACACTTCTAACTGATAAATAAACAGAACTATGCCTGAGGTACACTAACACATTCAACATAAAATGGATTATGTACTTGGAAAGCAAGTCCCAGCTGAATTGTATGGAAAGGGTGGGGAAATCAAATCACCCTTCCCATCTGCCTGTTTTCAAAATGATGAGAAATCTGTCCACCTGCCTTTCAACCACCTACTGTTCCACCAGCTTACAGAGTAGCAGACTGAAGGATGCTTGACACATTACATTTTTAAAGATGCAGGATTATTCCCATAAGTCATTTGCTTTTCTTCAAAGCTATGTAAATGAATAATATATGCATTTGGTTGTCAGACAGAACTTGGAATGGCAATATTCTGGTAGCTTTTCAAGTGTTTGCAGCTCTTATTGGGACCTGGTCATTAGTATTACTCGTTCAGACAAGTTTTCAGCATACTTCTTCAGGAGAGGCTGTCAAGGGCTCATTATACTTTATATGGAAAGTGGGGAAAACAATCCCAAAATTCAAAAGTAATCACACCCAAAGTTTCTTCACAAGATCAAGGTCTTCTTGGCTTTTGTTAAGGACTTCAATGGCTAGTGCTTTGTAGGGGATAGGGGCCTTGTTAATCCCAACTAAACTTGACCCGTTCATTCAAGGAAAAGTACATGAGCATTTATCAAGTTCTTGTTGATTTAATAGATTTATTCTAGTTTGAACAAAAATGTGGATTTTCACCAGGTTGTTTCATGTAGATGGGGGAGATCTAAATCAGTAAATCACTAGTTACAAATAACTTTCATTTCTAACTTATGGCTGCCCTAAGGTGAGCCTATCATGGGTTTTCTTGGCAAGTTTCTTCAGGTGGGGTTTGCCATTGTCATCCTCTGAGGCTGAAAGAGTATGGCTCAAAGCAGACAGGCCAAAGAAATTGTCTTCCGGCCTCTTCAGGGGTATGGTGTCCAGATGACACATGCCCCCAGAACTGCTTTGAGGCCCCCTAAGGCAGCCTCAGGCAGCCGGCAAAAAGAGTGAGGAAAGTCTGCTCTTTGCCAGCCACCCATTTAAGACTGTGGCAGTAGCCTGCTTTCAGAGTGGGCCATCCAGTTGCCATGATCTTGTGCCAATTAGAGACTGACTGGGTCTGGAGCAGCCAGAAGCCATTCCAAACTGCCTATCTGCTTTACCCTGTAATTTTCCCAAGGTCACCCAGGGGGTTTACATGGGATTTGAACCCTGGTCTTCAGAATCCTAGTCCAATGTTCAAATCCCTATACCATGCTAACTCTGCAACTCTACAAATAACTAGTTGTAATAAAAGACCATGCAGTTTAACAAAAACAAAAACAAACAAACAAACAACAACAAATAACTAGTTGCATCACCCTTTCCAAAAACATAAAGCTCTTTTTATCATTTAATTTTAACAGAATGACAGATAGCATAATTCTTTTTGCAGTATAACTATAATATTTCAGTTAATTTTATAGTTGCTATGATGTGATTTCACTAAATGAGTTAGAATAAGTATCACAGAGTTCAATAGCTCACATTATGCTTTGCTCTGTTGTTGTTGTTGTGTTCACAAGGTGCTAGAGCAAGATAGCACTAGGTGAGCCCATGCTATCTGGCTCCTGTTCTCACCTAGGTTAGTCCCTGCATCAGTGCAGGGATGGGTGGGTGTCCACGCACTTGTCTCCACACAAACCAAGGAGCCATAAATGTGTCTTACCTTGATGACATGCAAACCATCTGAGAAGCCCCCAGTCACCCTATCTGATGTAGAAATGGGATGCCTTGATGTAAGCACCCTATTTCTGTGTCAGAGCAGGTGACTGGGGGGCTTCTCAGATGGTTCACACACCGGCAAGGTAAGGAGCATGGGGGGCATGTCTGAACAGCCCAGTTTTGGGCTGAGCAGTTTTGGGCAGCCCAGCTTTGGGCTGAGCAAAACCAGGGCTATTTTACCTCAGGCTAAAGCCCTAGGGTCAGACTAGATCCTGTACTAGCAGAAGCTATCAGCTTGATCAGGCCTAGCCTAAAGAAAAAGGCCCTCCCTCCATGCCATCTGCTATCATCCAGCCTTGGAGGGAGTGAAAAGGCAGGCCCAGCACCATCAGGCCTAGCCTAAGAAGAAGAGCCATCCCTCCAGTCCATCTACCCTGGTCCAGGCCTCAGAGGGAGAGAAAAACTGATGGACTTATTTCCCTTCCCCACTGTCACTCCCTTCTCCTTTTGTGTCATGTTTTTTTAGATTGTAAACCTGAGGGCAGGGAACTGTCTAAGCTGCTCTGAGAGCCTTTATGGCTGAAGAGTGGGGTATAAATACAGAAATAAGTTTCATTGTTCTCTTCTGGAAGTAGGAATGAGAATGTTTTATTCCTTGAGTTGCCTGTTAGATGCTGGGGTCAACTGAAGGTTTGCCCTGATGGAATTAGCTACAAATAATGCAACAGATTTTCTTCTGTTTGCCCTTGTGTGGTGTTGAACTTGAGTGGAACATTATTTAACATGACCCCCTTTTATCAGCATTGATAAAAAATAGATGAGATGCCATGTTCCAACTTTTCTCAGATAAATTGGCCTGCACTGTTCCAGCATCTGAAGACATGTTAAGTGGGGTCACTTATAGCTGACCTGCATAGATTTGGCACAGACATCAAGCTGGATTTCTAATTAGAAATATCCGTAAACTATAATGTATAAATAACCAGGAGCAGTAATCTTTGGCTGAAGACTTTGTGAATCTCATAATATCGTTGTGCTAATATGATGTTTTGCATGATATTCTAGACTCTAGAGAATCTGAAAAGAAACAACATGTTTATATAATAATTCATGACCAGGTGGGAGGAGAATCTTGATTTCTCTTTTAACCATTAATGAGAGGTGAGGTATGGCTCATATCCAAAGAGGCACACCAAAGAGGATCTGGATGTGTTGCCACCACTTCTTAAGATTTTTTAAACAAAACCAATTATCTCTTTCTTATGGAAGTGGAGCCGCACTAAGAGGGTTAACCCTCATCCCCTTTGCTCATGTGGACGGATATTTAGTGGTTGTTAGTGGCTTCCATTTCAATGGTGTAGTGAATCCATTTAATCCAAGAAGGTATCCAAGCCTAGGATTGAGCAGCTTGGATGGCTTCTTCAACATTCACACACAGAAGCCCAAAGTAATTCACTGCACTACTGGTAGGCACAACACCAGATTCCAGGGCTTTTGTAACACCAGCTAATAATCACATTCCACTTTTTTCTTTTCCTTTCTTCATTTTAAACAGATTTACTGCTCCCCTTCCCATTTTTTTTAAAAAATATATTTTATGCTGAGTGTGTTTTAACACACAACATGCACATACACATCAGTGGAAACTCTCAGTGATTTCACTGTCACCTTTTCTTAGGTAATTGTTGGGATTTCTTGTCTTTTCCTCCCATCCTTCCTTCTGCTATTGTCACAGTCTTCCTCTCTCTAATGCAGACAAGACAATGAGCAAAGTTCTTTTTCACTGCATCAGAAGCCCATACAAAACTTACTGGGGAAGCAGACAGGCAGCCCTGGGCTGCCCCAGGAAGCTGCGCTGCGGGGCTGAGGTATCCCCACACCTCGGCCCCGCGGCACAGCTTCACCACCCCTGGAAGGAGTACTAAAATAGCACTCCTTCCACAAGTCACTGAAGGTGCAATGCAAAAGGCTGGTGGCGCACCTTCGGCAACTCTTCCACCACAGCATTTGCAGACGCTGCAGCGGGAATGCATTGTTGGAGCACTGACCATGCGGAGGAGCCGGCGCTCCGACGATGCCTTTGGGAAGGGGTTGGGGCGCCCACCGTGCAGCTGCCCCTCCCCTTCCTTGCCCCCAAAATGTCCCTTTGAGCCATCTGCTTCCCCCCATAGACCTCTACACTTCTTATTTTGTATCAACCCACTTGGTATCCAGTGAGCCACCTCCACAAAAAGTTCATGAAGAAAGAAACTCACCTATGCACATTTTGTGGGCCAGGAAGTAAATACAAAGACTTGGCTTTGAACTGTTGTCAAGTACTTTGGTCCCCCTATCATAGCATCATTCAGATTTTACTGTTACCAAGTTGTTCAACTAAAAGCAAAATCTCCACATCTCTTTCCTACTCGTATATCCCTTTTAAATAAATTGGGTCTTTTTTTAAGATTAGGAGTAAATTCTAAAGGAATAGGAGCCACAGATCTTTCATGCTTGAAATTTAATCCCTTGCATTTTAACAGATGGTTTACAAATATATAAGACACAACATTTGTTTAGAATGAAGTTGCAATGATGAGGGATGGACTTCCTCTTTGAAATTCTGCTAATCAATTTCATTGACAATATTCTTTTAATGAATAGAGAAGGATTTAAAAGGTGGTGGCACTATTATAGTGGTTAAGAAGACTCCACCATATTCTGAAGAAGTGTGTTCCACTGTCAAATAGCTCTTACTGTCAGGAAGTTCCTCCTAATGTTGAGGTGGAATCTCTTTTCCTGTAGCTTGCATCCACTGTTCCGGGTCCTATTCTCTGGAGCAGCAGAGAACAAGCTTGCTTCATCCTCAGTATTTCTCCCCTACAAATACTTAAACAGGGCTACTATATCACCTCTTAACCACTTCTTCTCCAGGCTAAACATGCCCAGCTCCATAAGTCTCTCTTCATAGGGCATGGCTTCCAAAGCCTTCACTACAATTAGAATGCAGCTCTGGAGGTGATGCTCCATCCTCCTTTTCATTGATAAATTGAATTAATAGGAACTATATTGCCTTCCAAAGATGTTTTTATTTCCAATATCTAGCTCTTCTTTCCTGTATGTTTCACCCCAAGCCTCAGCTAAAGTGCCTTTACAGACTGTCAGAAATAATGCAGTTTGAGACCACTTTAACTGTCCTGGCTCAATGCCAAGAAATGATGGGAATTGTAGTAGTTTTTTTTTTCTGAGACATTGAGCCTTCTCTGTCATAGAGCTCTGGTGCCACAATAAACTACAGTTCCCATGATTCCCTAGCACTAAGCCAGGGCAGTTAAAGTGGTCTCAAACTGCATTATTTCTGGCAGTCTGTAAAGGCCCTGAGTCTCCAGACCTCCAATTCATGGAAGGGATTTAACTGTACCACAAGGCTGTGTGAGATTTTTCGTTGCCCTTAGGCAGTTCTAAGAGTAAGAATACAAAGAATACAAAGAATACAGTTCCAAGAGCAAGAATACAAAGAATACAAAGTTGTCCAAGGAACAAACTACTTTGTTTCTGTGCTTTGACCTGTGAAAGCAAAATCTTGTCAAAATAACTGAAGAAGATGTGGTGGCTGCTTTCTTCAAAGTCATTTCTTTATTACGGCCATTTAGCAAGCACAAATTGCAGCTTTCTTCAATATTCCTCAAGCTCGAGAAAAGAATGTGTATGATCAAGAAAACCAAACTAACAAAGGGCATGTCCCTATCAATTCTTCAAGATTCCAGTATTTTAAAAGTATTATGACAATTCCCTGACTCTTGGATCAATAAAGGAACAAGGGACACAATCTATTTTGGAGTAGAATTGAGCAGCCCACAAGCTTCTGCTGATATCCCTTGTAGTCCACAATATGCACAAATTTCCACCACATCCCCCCTTGGCCCATTTTAGGTCCAGGAAAAGCCATTTTAAACACAAAGGCCTTTGCAGACTGCCAGAAATAATACAACTTGAGTCCACTTTAACTGCCCAGCTCTGTGCCAGGGAATTATGGGAACTGTAGTTTATTGGGCACCAGAGCTCTCTGACAGAGAAGGCTCAATGTCCAAGAAAAAAAATAATACAATTCCTATCATTCCTTAGCACTGAGCCAGGAAAGTTAAAGTGGACTCAAGTTGCATTATTTCTGGTAGTCTGTAAAGGCCCAAAGTAAACCAGAAGAGCATTATAATATCTACTATATGTATTTCTTTCATTAGCTGAATTGATTTTGTCTTTGCTTATATATTGTTAGTGTGCAGCACATGCAACAGTAGTTTTATGTTAATAGTACATATTTAAAATACATGTACCAGCAAAAAGATGAAATTGGAGAAGGGGAAGGGCCTTAATTATTCTAATTCAATTTATAGGCATTTAATTATACACTCATGCTTCTTTAACAGTAGTTAGTAGAAGATGCACTCTACTTCATATTGGACCAAGGTTATATTTAATAAATACTGAGAGAAAAAATATAAGATAGATGGAAAAACTCACAAACTATTCAGATTTGTCCTTTAACATCCACAGTATAGAATTTAGTTTAGAAATATACATT